ATGCAGTTAGACTTTTTGCTGGTTTGTACTTTACAATTTATAGCCTGACAGTTTATATGCAAAATAAAATATGTAAGGATATTTTAATCCTTTAAGAAGAACAATCTTACTATTTAAATATGACAGATATTTATAATTTTTATTCTAATGTGGATATTTTCAATTTTATAAGATATTTTAGCATCATTGTTTTAACACTGTTATCATTTATATAGCATGTTTGTATGATACTTATATATGCCCAGGTAAATATTTGTATCTACACATTAGAACTATGGAGAAGTGTTTGACTTTGAAAGTGTTTTGAAGCATTTGCATGTCATAGTTTTGTTTTTTTTTAAGCAACTACCAATGGGTCTTATGTTTGCCATTTATATTAATAACTAGAAGCAAAAGTTTTTGAAAACTAAGAAGTCTTAAATAGATTTATTTCACTTTCTAAATCCAAACGTTTTTCAACTGATGCAAATTTTGTTCAAAATGTATTGGTCCTCAAAATAATAACACATTTACTATTTTTTGCTTATAACTCCACTCCACAAAGAACTGATTTTGTGGATGAGTTAAATGTCTCACTAAATCTTAAATTTCTTACATCCTCTGATCAAAGAGGCTGAAAGTAAAGTTAATGAACGATGGCTGTTACTGGTCCATGGATGAATTTATGCCGTTTTAGTTCATGTATTTCTGCCTATGCTTCTACATGATTCAAATTTCCAGTTGGTCTTTTGAGGTAAAACTTAAATTTATGTTATTCATTTTTACTTTAACATTTCTATCATGTTTTATGCTTGTAATATAATTCAAAGTAATTTTAGTGTCTTGCTTACTTATAAAAAAATTTAACCATGGAAATTGCATGTCCAAATATAAATGAAAGTTTAACAAACCAAAGCATCAAAACATCATATTAAAATAAAAATTGGAGGCCACAATCCATAGCGAGGTACATGTTAAGGAGTGGGCATACTGTTGTAAATTAGCAAAGATAGGAATAAGAATTTTGACCTGTTGTTTGAATGAGGAAAGGGTCATTGGTAAATTGATGGAACAAGAGGGTGTATGTGTAGCAGGTCAGGAGTGCACTAACTGCATGGACAGCTGGTCCCACCTAGGTTCACTCTGTCAGCAGTGGTCAGTGACACCTTTATCTCATTTTCAGTTTGCTTCACTGAGACATCTGAGGTAGCGAAAGGCCAGTGATCCAAACAGGGGGAGAACAAAGAACTTACAGATGGGAACTATCATCCAAAACTTGTTAGATTAATTTAATATGCATCTGGGGGCTTATGTTAATTAGCCCTACAAAGACATTTGAACAGTGACTGTATGTTTTCAAGCTCAAGTTCCTTTCTAGAGCATCACCAGGAGGAAGCTGGAGGTCTTTGGTAAAAATAACTCATCTTAAAGGAAACTCACAAGTCATCAGCGATGGTCCCCTTATTGGGAGTTCTCGAGAAAATCTTGCAGGAGAAGCATTTGAAAAACACAGACGCTGTAATGACCTTATTCGTGAGGTTACTCTAATTGGGTAATTCTGAGGGAAAACGATGTCCACAAAACAGTAAAAAAATGAAAACAACCAAAAAACAGCTCACGGAACCATAAAAGTGTCTCTTCAGCTTATGCTTCAAAGAAGCAGGTGTTAGAACTACTAGAAAATATATATCATAAACAAGTGTGAACATGATGCCATAAATAAAACTGCTTAAGATAAAAAAGAAGAAAACAAAGTAATCTTCCTTTAAAGAGTAAGGTTTCAGTTATCACCCAAGATATTGTCTACTTTGAGTTATTTTTATCTTAGTAATAAAGGCTTGTTTAAAAGGACTCAAATGTAAATGTAAATGATGGCCTTTAAGGCTCCTTAACAAAAAGATCTAACTTTACATGTTAAAATTGTCAGAACTCTGAGGTTCCCAAATGGAACTCAGATTAGGTAAATTATAAATATCTACCAGATAAAGGACTCAGAGAAGAAAATAAAATATCATGTGTTTTTATAGCATGAACTATGAAAAACAGATTCAGTCTCTCTTAGTAAACTTAGGTGATTTGCAATAGTCTCTCAACACAGGCACATATGCACCTTGTGGGCCCGTGCCCTGAGAAGGAGGAGGGTGTGATAAGAGAAAATAATTGAGTTATCAGAGAGTGGCCCCTTATACAGGAGAAACCTTTCTAAAAAACTCTATCAAAAGATATTTATTAAGAAGAAATAGGAGGAGGAGGGCGAGGGGGCAGGGTAGGAAGAGGAAATGGAGAAGAGCATTAGAGAAGTTTGGGCCAGGTACTATTTGCAGTAGCCACAGACAATATCTTTTTTACTGCAACACAGAAGCACACTTCCTCTGGTTCACTGCTGTATCTTCAGGTGCCACTACACTAAGTTCATAATAAGTAGTTGCTTGATACATGTTTGTGGAATTAATTAATAGATTCCTGGAAGTTGTTATATTGTGCACACCTCTGAAAGATGGCCTTGATAAAGAATATTATTTCCCCCAGAACTGGTTTTAAGATTTTAATTATAATTACATCTCAATATTGAGTATTGTTTGACCTCTATTAAAACCTAATCTTTGTTTTAAATCTATTAGCCTGGAGATTAAAAAAATATAGTTGTTAAATCCTGAAAATTTGAATATGCCTTTCATTCTATGAAAAATACCTAGTAGAAAAATATGTAAACCTAATATTCAATACACACAATATACATTTGTATATATATATCATTGATGAGAGAGAAACATCAATCAGCTGCCTCTTGCACACCCCCCACTGGGGATGTGCCCGCAACCAAGGCACATGCCCTTGACCGGAATCGAACCTGGGACCCCTCAGTCCGCAGACCAACGCTCCATCCACTGAGCCACCGGTTAGGGCCATTTGTATATTTTATTTTTTATTAATTTATACTATGATTGATAGCTGGAAGCTAAAGCAAACATCAGTTAGCATCAAAGAAAGACATTGGAAGGCCAGTGGACTTTGAAATTCAGGAGGGCTGAATATCAGCACAAGTTTTGCTCCTACTGTGATTGCAATGGCTTGAGGCAATTTCTGGACCTGATAATCGTTACATTGTTTACCAAACTTTACCTTTGATCTGCGTGTATGCATTGCTAAAGGGCAAACATGTATTCAGAGTGAATAAAAAGCAAACTGGACCCACTATCGGCTGTGTCTCTTCAAGAAAGAGGCTCCACCTGGCCCCCAATGTCTTCTAAATTCATATTTCTTGTATAGTATTTTTATTTGTGTGTCAACCCCTCCTTCAGATCCTGAACCCCACCACGAAGGTCATGGCAATTGATTTTATTTTCTTTCTTCTGATTATTTTGGTTTAATGTAATCTCTTTCATTTCTTTAAGAGGAAGCTGAGGTCATTTATTTAAAATATTTCTTCTCTCTTAACTTTAGATAATTTTAAAATAGAGTGATTATTCTAGTTTATCTGGGGTTGGGGTGCTCATTTTAAACATATGCACTTTTAAAAGCCAGAAAAGGAGGCAGAATAGATCATAGATAGGAACATTACATGAACTTGACACACCATTGCTAGATTTGAAGATGAAGGAAGAGGCTATGAACTAAGAAATGAGAACAGCTTCTAGAAATTGAAAAAGGCAAAACAAACAAACAAAAAACAATTAAAAAATAGATTCTTCTCAAGAACCTTCAGAAGAAAAGCAGTCCAATACCTTGATTTATAAGATAATGGATGTGTGTGTTTAATAAGCACAAATTACTGTCTGCAGTAATCTGTTACAACAGCAATCAAAGCGAGTCATCATGTACACTAATCTTTTCCTCTGTCATGTTTAATCTGCCATCAATCCTATCCACTGTATTTTTCCTCCCAGACATTGTAATTTCTAGCTCAGAAGTTCAATCAGAAAAAGCAAAGTACCATAGGTTTCACTCATATGTGATATATAAAACCGAAATTCATAGACACAGACAACAATGGTATGGTGGTTACCAGAGGGAAGAGGGTTAAGGGATAAGGGCAGCCTAATACACTCAGTGGCCAGATTATTATGACCACCCCATCAGTACTTCATTGACACTTCCAAAAATACTGAATATTGAAAACTTCCTAAGCAAATACTCTCAAGGTTTTATTATTGTTATTATTATTTGCATAACTAATTCACTTCATTGTACTGATGGGGTGGTCATAATAATCTGGCCACTCAGTGTATATGGTGATGGAAGATGGTTTGACTTTGGGTGGTAGACATACAATGCAATATACAGATCTTGTATCATAGAAATGTACACTTGAAGACTATGTAATCCTATTAACCAATGTTGCCCCAATAAATTTAATAGAAAAAAGAAACTTAGGGAATCTACAAAAATGTTTAATTTGGGTCCTTTTATGTCTTCATGACTCTATTGAAGTTATTCTTTCCTCTATTTTATTTAAAAATTTTTTTTATTGATTTCATAGTGGAAGGGAGAGGGAGAGAGAGATAGAAACATCAATGATAAGAGAGAATCATTGATTGGCTGCCTCCTGCATGCCCCAAACTGGGGATTGAGCCCCCAACCGGGGCATGTGCCCTTGACTGGAATCAAATCTGGAACCCTTCAGTCCACAGGCCGATGCTCTATCTACTGAGCCAAACCAGCTATCTTCTTGAACATATGGAATAAAGTAGTAAACACTATGAAATGTCCTTGTCTCCTAATTGTTATGTCTATTGTTTCTGGATCTGTTTCAACTGACTGATTTTAATGGTCCTTCAGCTCCTGGCTCTGACTGGGTTTTCCTTCCTTATCCTGTGGCCTGGGAGCTTTCTCCAAGCAGTAAGTAGGAACAATCTTAGGGCTCACCTTGTTCACTTCCCAATTTCCAGTTTCTTAGAAAGCAGTACTTTCTAGTATCTTGTACTTGAAGCTTCCCACCCCCGACACTTGTATTTTGTTTTAATATTTAATTGTTTTGTCTGTTCTTTTACTCAATCTTGATTGGGAGCAATAGTCTCACTTGCTCTTCTGATGTACATCCTCTTAGTCTTTCTTCTACATATTTACACTTACACATACACATTTTTTCTTTTTCAGATCACATAACACATGAAATATAATCAGCACATTTTCTATTCTTTTAAAGCTCCTTATATTACTCTCTCTACCTTTTGAAGATGAATATCTATTCCTACTCTTTTTGTACATGTCTAATTATTCTCATAGGATAAATTGTGACCAAGTTAATATTTTTAATACAATTGGTAAATATGGTCAAATTAGCCCCTACAAAAATATGTCTCTTTTACACCAATTGTGATTATTTGAATTAAAATATATCTCTATTTCAGAGACAAAAATTAACTTTAGTTTTAAAAAAATATTATTGAGATGAAATTTAACAAAAATATGTTCATGTATAAATTGTCTATTTGTTTTCTCACTTGTTTTTCTAATTGTATACTTGTTTTCTTGGTGGTTTATCAAATTTCTTTTTATTTTAAACATAATACCCTGGGTAATATTCATTAAAATGATGTACCAAATTTAATTTTAATTCTTACATTTTAAACAAGTTTATATGTTGTTTAAATTATTAACATTATCAACTTTCTCTTTATATTAAGACTTTTGCTCAGAATGTCCTTTAATGATATTTCTCATCAGTAAGTAGATATGCACTTACTCTTTTATTTGCATTTAATTGTAATTTTACCCTTACTGATATAATTCATTGAAATTTGTTTCTTGATATATAATGTAGGGTGAAGATAACTTTACATTTTTCTGTGTGGTTAATCACACTATTCCTCTAGATTTTAATATGTTCAATTATATTTATTGTGTCTAATATGGTTAAATATACATACCTATTTATGATTTTTTAATTGTATATGATATATATCTACACTAATAAAAGACACATATGCAAATTGACCGCACCTTCTCTATGCCGTAAGCCACACCCACCAGCCGATCAGAGCAACTATATACAAATTAACCCAACCAAGATGTCGGCCTGCAGCCACGGAGCTGGAGCAAGCAGGAGGCTTGGTTGCCCCAATGATGGAGGAACCCAAGCTTCCCACCTGCCGCAGCCGGCTCTGAGCTCCACTCAAAGCAATAAAGTTTCAATTATAGAAGGTAAATAAACCCCAGATACCTGCTTTCAGTCGGCTGTGGCTATGAAGCTGGAGTGAGCAGGAGGCTTGGTTGCCCCTGGCGATGGAGGAAGCCAAGCTTCCTTCCCTCCTGCCCTGGTAATCTCTGAGCTCCTCTCTAAGCTACAAAGTTTCAATTATAGAAGGTGAATAAACCCCAGAATTTAAAAAAAAAAAGAAAAAAAGGAGAGGCTGGGAGCTTCTGTTGCTGGGGGGTTTGGCCCGCCTGAAAACGGCCCTCAGCTCCTCACCCAGGCTGGCCAGGCACCCCAGTGGGAACCTCCACCCTGAAGGGGGTGTGACCAGCCTGCAAACACCCATCAGCCCCTCACCCAGGCTGACCAGGCACCCCAGTGGGACCCCCACACTGATCTGGGACACCCTTCAGGGCAAACCAGCTGGCCCCCACCCATGCACCAGGCCTCTATCTTATATAATAAAAGAGTAATATTCAAACTGACCCTAACAGCAGAACGACTGGGAATGACTGGTCACTATGACACACACTGACCACCAGCGGGCAGACACTCAATGCAGGAGCTGCCCCTGGTGGTCAGTGTGCTCCCACAGGGGGAGCTCTGCTCAGCCACAAGCC